TAAACTTGCAGCCTACTGCGAAACTACAAAGTTTTGTAGCTATGTGATATTTTCGTTGTTGCCAAGTTGCGACTGGAACTCGACTGGCGTGCTTTTTGTTTTAAATCTTGAGAGTGCAAATTTTGTATAAAAAGTTTTTTTATTTGTTATTTTGGCTCTCATTAAAACTGTATCTGCCGTGCATAATCTATATACCTTACTTTTGAGAAACTCATCAGGTTGTCTTATAATGTTTTCAGTTTTTTGTCTTCTACTTTTATCATCATCAGTGAACCGATTTTTGATCTCGTCTTTTGTATCGTTCCAAATTGTTTTGTTCTTTTAAATTACGTTTCTTAGACTAGTTTTGTGAAATTGACCAAAACTGGATTAAGTTTAGCTTAAATCTTTTTTTAATTGCTTCAAATGTGCCTAATTTAACTAAAACTGAGTAGTTTTATGAATTTTATTGTTTAGTCAATTTAATTGGGTTTAACCTGACCGAAAATGGATTATGTTTAACTAAATTCGTTTTTTATTGAATTAAATTGCGCTCTACTCAACAAAACGGTTTTAAAAGCCGGCTTAGTCCGAGAGTTTTTTGTCGTTGTAACAATAACATTGATTCAAAAGTTATTTTTTGCGGAGAAGTGTTCTAGACTGTTGTGTGAAATGGATGAAAGTTGCAACTTTTGACCCCATTAGATGTATCTGAGAACATGACATTAAAATAAATCGCCGGCCTTAAGATAGATAGCCTCCTTTTCTAGCATAAAAATTGACTAATATAGTCTCACTTCCTAAAACTATGCAATAGTGCAAGAAAAATATTTTTTGTTTTTTTTTCATATATTTCAAGACGCAGTAATCCAATCATTATGCAAAAAATCTTCCTAAATGAAACTATGCTCGTTGAAAGAACCTTTTGTTTTGATTAGTAACTGAAACTTAAAAAAAATGTGTCTCACTTTGGTTGTTGTCAAAGACCATAATCAATCTGGAACAAAAACTAAAATAAAACGAGAAAACAGACAAAACAGAAAATGTTAAAATAAGTACTTGGTTGAACAACTGTCAAAAACGCCAAATTAGAGTTGGAGATTATAGGTACAGCTATGAAAAATTCAAGTTGGCTTAAGTCAAAAAAATTAACCCTGTCTTATCTGGAAGATCATATTTTCCAATAAAATTTCATTGGTAATTTTCAATGGAAAAATGAACTTTGAGAATTAAAAAAAAAAACGGGGAAAATTTTTTAACTGGAAAATTTTTTAACTGGACTTCAAAAATGGGGCATAAAATTTGTTAAGGTTCATGCCAATTTTTTCTCAATTTTTGTTCTCAGACAAATATATTTTTTTCTAACATAGCCTTCAGATTTTTTTATCTCTTTACCTTCATTGAGAAACTTTTGCAATTAAGTGACTTTATAGTTTACAAATCAAGCAGTGAATAGATCAACACAATTTATTGGTTTTACATTTACAAGTGGAGGTTTTGTCATTGCTTTTCAAGGCGGTAGAGTTAACCAGCTCAACCAAATGGCTACATAATTGATTTTAATTTTGCCGGTCAAAAGCAGGCGAACAACATGTGACCTTAAGATTTATTCAATACGGACTGGTGTTTAAAATGTAGGAAAATTAAGTAAAGCCTTACGTTGGCGTAGCATATGCTCTACTACATACTTTTCAAAACTTTTCAATTTGGCCACAAAACAATTTGCTGAAATTTAGCCTAATTGTTGTAAAAAAATTATTAAATAAAGAATTGATTACTCAAAATGATAACAGAAGCGATTTCATCAAAAACAGGATCACAACTCTTTGCAAAACAGGATCACAAACGGAAAAGTGTGGAGTTCATTAGTAGAACAGGAAGAACAGGACATGATGGACAAAATTGAAGCAAAGATCAAAAAGAGCGTAGTTTTAGCTATTCAAAATGCCATGCCGAAAATCATATGTAGTTTAAATGCAGTGTTGCATGCATGAAACAATCCGAACTATTGTCAAAAAGTTCTCAATAAAATTGACGAATGAAACTCTTTCACAATTAATGGCAATTTAAGAATAGTAGAGAGCCATAATATACCGGAGACGTATATGGAATTAGAACTCCTGGAAAAAAGTTAGTCCGATAGGCTCACTACTAAGGAAAAGCTAATTGTTTATGATCTCTTGAAACTCAAATTATTATCAATTCTATCAAGTAAATGAACAATTTTGTTCAAATCAAAACCACGAGCTATTTGAAGACAATTGCAGCAGGAGTCAATTACAAACAATTGAAAACAAACAAGAATGCACAACATTGATTAAACAAAAGAAAAAATGAACGCGGAAATGATATGAATGCTAAAAAAATTTAGCAAAGAAAAAAACAAAAAAAACATCAGATAATCAGTTTATGTAGATATTGGATACTTTAGAAAAATTGAATCAACTAAGACATCAAATTAAAACAATCGAAACTACACAAAAAAAAACGAAAACGGAATAAAATGACATTTTTTTGTTCTCAGAAGTTGAAACTGAATAAGTCAAAACTTTTCGAAAAAAACTCACTTTGTTCTCTGATAGCATTTTAGACTGACTTCAGCTTAGTTTATCAAATCAATTCTTTTGCAAAATTTGAAAAACAAGATTTAACACAAAAAACTGACAGCACAAAAAGTCAAAAATCGATCAAAACTATTGGTTTATTTTATAAAGAAACATTGTTTTACAAGCTAAAGGATGCAAAGAGGACAGAAAGTAAATTAAAAAAAACTTACGCAAATGAGTTACAAGGCTTTGAAAATTTGCAATATGAAATACATGAATTTTTCAAAAATCATCGAATTTTTCAAAAATCATCAATCAGTTTTTGCTTATGAAGCGTTACAAAATTGGTTACAAAGCCAATAAAACGTAAACCGAAACCATTCAGGCTGCAGAAAGCTTTTAACCGAGTACAAACAAAAAGTTAAACCAAAAAAAAATATTCAACGTCCAGTCTGTCAATTTTAGAAATTTCGTGAGTAAATTCAAGCTACGTGCATCTAGGAAAAAACGAGCAAAATCCTCGATATTGCAACCAAGCCGAAAACATAAGCAGACAACAGAAAGTAGGAAAACCCAATATTTCCTAACAACTGATTCACTTTTCCTACATACGTTGTTTCATACAAATTGAACAAAAAACATAAGCATACAAAAGAAAGTATGAAAATCCAATATTTCCTAATAACCGATCCAAATTTTCCTGTATACGTGGTCTCATACAAACTGAATAAAAAACCAAGGTGCAGTCGGACTAAAATCTCAGACCTTAGGGCACTAATGCAACCACGATACCTCTAAACCAAGTGGGAAAGAGTCTTGAAGTTATCAAGCTTCACTAAAAAGTTGTTAACGGGTAATGCAGCACCTTTGTATTTTTGCTTTTTCGAATGTTCACATACTGAAATTAAAAAAACTGGGTAAAGCGTTTATTCCGTTTGCAATACCGTTGCATGAGTAAAAAAGGCGTTTTTTGTTTTAAATCATAAAAACTAATACCTGAAGAAAAAAACAACTAGCAGAAACCTTGGAATTCTCGAACTCCAGAAACCAGATAAAAGTGTACTTTTAGAAGTTTATCGTTTTTCGCACTGTCATGATAAAGACATCAAGTTGAACTTTCAGAATTTTTCGTATTTGAAATTTTTTTGATAAAACTCAATCAATTATACTTCAGCGTCACCATTTAAGAAATTTTGCAAAATAATTGTTATTCCCTTAGAATTTTCTCCTTGAGAATTAGTAAGGATGCTATACGTCAATGGAAAAAAATCCCAATGAGAATCTTTTTGCAGAATTATTTGTCCATTGAGATATTTTTTTTTGCAGACGTGCCTCTGAGTGTGGATACAGATTTCAATAAAACTAACTGTTGAGGGCCAGTTTGGTTTTCAAATGATTGACAAGATTGTAACTTATCGAAAACTTTTCTGGTTGGAAATTCTATACGTTGATATTTGAAACTTGTACCGCTCAAAAATGCCCAGAGATTTATTCTGAAGGTATATGCTAGACAAGATAGTATACCGCTCAAGTGGAAATGTTTTAGCTGTGGATTTTTTTAATCAGAAAAACTTGAATTTCATTTTTGACTTAAATTTTTGATGAACGCACATCACCAAGACAACCAGTTGAAACCTCGAAGTCCTTGCAATCTGAGGCAATCAACTAATGAAATTGTCCCAACTGCTCTCTCTACTCTACTAAAACACATTAATGATACTTTGTAATGACAGCTCTCTCTAGTCTAAAAAAAGACATTAATGGTACCGTGTAATAACATCCAGTCAAGCCCATTCAAAAAACTATGGCCTTAAAGCTCATAAAATTTCAAGAAAAATTCATGTTTGACATTTTTTTATTAATTCAACCCAATTTTAAAAAACTTGATCTATACGAAAATTTTCTATTCCGCTGAGAAATCTAAAAACTAAAACCCACCAGAAAACTTAAAATTGATCACGTTTTTCGTGACCTTTACACTTTTGCTGTCCGATGAACTGAACTTGAAAAAAAATCAAAGCCAAAACGCAAAAATCTTTATGTTGAACGTGAACAAATTTAAGACGGTTGTTGAAAAAAAAGATAGCCAACAGCAAGTTGGAAAATTGTCAAGGAACGTAAGAGAACAGAAACAAAAATTGCTATTTTTTTTCAAAACCTGATTTTTCGAATTTTGAAGAAAAACGTAGTTTAAGACTCTTATGCAGGTCATGATTTTTTCAGGAAGTTTCAAAATTGTTCACGATCTAGTTCATTTATTGGCGGTTTGACTTTGATTTCTTTTCAAGTTCAGTTCATTTCCATTGTTAAAAGGAAGGCAAACTCCACTATCAACTAGCTAGCGTGTTAAGGTCACAAAAAACGTCATGGACTTCTAATTTCGAATTTCTTTTTCTGTCCATTCAGATGCCCATACATTACTTGCAATGATACCCGTGTCTATAAAAACTAATTGAGTATAATTATTTATTTTTAGTTTCCAAGTGACTATGATGATGAAAATGGTTAATTTACTCTAACAATTCCGTGCAAATGTCTGACAATGTCATTTAAGTTTGAACTTATATTTCGCACCCAATTTTGTATCCTTTCGACCCAATTCCTGGAGACAGTTTGTTCCATTTGAAAGCTGGCTTGAATTCACTCTCATCTCCAATTTGCACTGCAGCGGAGTTTCCTTCAATGGTTTGTTCAAAAATAAGGTCTCTTATACAACCGTTGAAACCTTTCGACGACGGTAGTAAGTTCTTGTACTGGTCCAATGTTTGTGTGTCCGGGATACCTCCGACATTCATCACTTGTCCCGATATCTCTTCAATCGTATTCAAATCTTTTAACTGTACAACTGTGGTTTTCTCTCTGTCATCGTCTACCATTACAATCCACTGCCTGCTTGCCAAGTGCTTCATTACGGCCACTGAGTGCCATTGTTTGTCGTTGATAGGCTCTTCTGAGCTTATTGAGTAGATGTCATCGGGAGATTTGGATCGACGCTCCCGCACAGAAACTTTTCCGTTCACAAGCGAAACTGATACTCCTGACTTCTAAATACGATACAACATTAACATAAAGGCAGATCGAAGTATTAGAAAGCCTGTCAGTTTGCTGCGCTTAATTTAGTTTTCAGGGCTACGATTTAATGGGCTATCGACTTGTTTTTTTTTATTTCTTTTATTTAACTGCCTCATTAGATTACCAATTCAATGACCTTTTATATTATAACTTACACCAGAAATGAACAAATCTCTTCTTATAAAACTCAAATAAATAAGGACTAGCCGGTTGCTGCTTCAGAAAATTTTAATGCTCCGACTAGTTATGAATGCAAAAAAAAGAATCGAAACAATATACTTTTTTTTCTACGTTACATGAAAAACATGCAGATTATAGTACGCGGTTCACAATATTGGACAACCATTTACGTTTTAAGAAAAATCATTTCTCGTTAAAATTACCAGTCTCAGTATTCGAACATACCAAAATTTTGAAAATTTTATCCAGTTTGACAGTGGATCAAATGACCACGAGAGAAGAATTTTGTATGGTATAATCAAATGCTGACAATTTTGGAAGAACCACTTTTCTGACTAGCCCAAAGAGCTTTAAAAAACTCCTTAAATGTTCTATGAGCTTTAATTAATTCATGTTGGTGTATCTGGTTTCACCTTAGCTTGCATATGCGCTTTTCTCAACAACCAAATAAGCTAAGATCGGTTTTTGCAGGCCTTATCTGGTTTAGTACCAAACTGCCGGCCTGAAAAACTTTTGTTAGATTTTGAGCCAGCTGCTCTTCAGCCATTCCAAAAAAAGTCCCTGAAGCGCATTTATCGGATTGTTTTTTTCCCATCTCTTCTGGAGTAAATAAAAACATGAAAGAACTGGATCTCAAAGTTACCTACAAAACAAATCACAACTTAGTGTTGGCCTTAAAAATGCTGACTTTCCTTGTATTTGAAAAAAAGGGAGTCCTATGATATGATCGATAAGAAAATTCAGAAAGTATGCCACAGACACTGATAAGAACTCGAAAAAATTTCTCTACTTTGGCTCTTCCTATATGAAAAGCGGTACCGCGAAGTTTTATTCCCACCCTCCCTTTGGATCCAGCGAGATGCGGCCACGAGTGGGATTGCTATAACAACAAATACTGTCGAAGGATGACATTTTGGCGTCGAATCATATTTCAGCGGAGCCCAACCTGTATATGCAGAAAGTAATAGACAACTAGCAAAAAACGCCTCCGCGCAAAAACTTTTTCGACGCGTCGAGTGGCCATAAAGTCAGAAAGAAGACAAAGTACCGCGTTTTCAATGAAAGACTTCAAAAATTATATTTTCCACGAAGACAAAACTGGTCTGACCTTTTCAGAGCATTATCTAATTTGTGTTGAACCAGTGTAAATTTTGTCTCACTTTATTTGATTCAGTCGTATTTTAAGTCTAATTTTAATCATGCTACTTTTGTCAGATTTTTTTTTTGAAAAGACGTTTTCTTATAGACTCCTGGAAAACGTACTAAACGCAAGAACTTGACTCGTGCACTAGCAAATTAATCTCAGGACAACCTTTGCATTTATAAGCCAACAATTCGAAAAAGCGATCCTGTTTTAAATTTAATCTCGTGAATGATTCTAAAATTGAATGATTTTAGCTTTTTGGCATTAATTAACCTTTTTTTCAATTTCTGTACCGGCTAAAAATGTCTCGAAAATCACGCCATTTTTAGTCAGAACGTTTTATTAATTGAGGGCCTTTGAAGTTCGTTGTAAAAAGATCGAAATTGTCTGGCTTTAAATGGTCAAAACTTTCTCGCTTTATTCTTTGATGCTTACCGAAGTCCCCTTTGAAGTAAGTTTTCTCTTCATTTTGAATTAAAATGGAGTTAGTTAAATTATAGAAATGGCTTTGAAATGTAGTGATTTCAAATTGATAAGGTAACATAAAGTAGGTAGTGAAACTGTTTGGTGTTAAAAAGGTGGGAACTGTTATCTAGCTTGAGCTGAATAGTTTTTAGAAGGCGAATCACGACTAAAATGTTTTAAAATGATACCACACTAGCCGCATGGGATCTTTCTTTGAGGTATGCAAAAATGACTGGAAACATTCAACCCTAATGTTGAAATTTACCTCGTCAGGTGCCATCAAAAACATGAGCAATGCGCTATCTGCTTCTGTCTTGATTTGAAATGCGATCCTGTTTCCAACAGCTGGTGGGTTTACAACTGCAAAGAGTGATTCATCATTGCCATCTAGTTGCATTGTTGTATATACAGGTGTAGCAAGGGGGTACAAGTAAAGACCTGCGTGAACCCATTTTTCGTAGTCTAACCACTCACTGTGTGTTGTTGGCGATGCGAACAAATCGCGGAGCCGAAAGCATCCCATCATAGATTCCAAATTTTCAAACGCGTTACCGTTCTTTAATTTCTGAAGCAACTTAACCTCTCCGTTGACTCCGACGATGAAGAGATCCAAATCAAAACTCTGCAGCGCCTTCACTGTAAACGATTTGTCTTCAATTTTATTGCTGCGCCTGATTTTATTGATTTCTGAGGAGAAGACAATGTTATCATTATTGGTCATAAAATCTAACTTCATTTGTGAAAGGGGCTTTTTGTTGTTACGTTTATCTACTACATTATAAACATTGGAAACACTAGCGTCTGCGGCTTGAACTTCACACGTGTAGTTATCACGGCAAACGACTCGTAGAAAATCTTTACCAATTCCAGCTGCAGAATATTTATCGCGGATTACTGCATAAGCAATCAGTGAACCGTTTTTACTTTGCTCTAGCGTTTCGATTTTTGTCAGTTGAACCCTTTCTTGAGACGACACTCGACCACTGACTGCAAATGATTCGCTTAGAGGTAAGTTCCGCTTCACGTATGCATTAGACTCCCAAGAACATGCAAAACCGAAATCATCATTTCTATAGTAAGGACTCTGCTTTTTCTCAGGGTAACAAGCCGAAACTTGAGAAGCAAGCTCATAGTTCCACAAATTCATTACCACGTTATTCAGAACGAAGAGATGAATGCATCCTTTGAAGTGTACAACGTCGCCAATCAGACTTGCGAAGGTTGTCTCGGTAGTCGGGACTCCACCGAAGAAATAACGAGTCTTATCACTAAGCCGCATAACTAGCTTAGGATACTGTTCCAGTTCGCTGAAAGAAGCACTGGCTAGAAGCGTCCCGTCACTTTGTTCAGATGATATCTTCACGGAGACCAGGAAGACTTTCAGAGTAGTTTCGAATCCACTCCTGGTGGCACGAATCGTGTAGGACTCCGAGGGCTTGAATTCAACGTCTGCGGTAATAATATGTCGTTGACCAGGCGAAGTTGACCAGAAAAACTCCAACTTGCCTTCCTTCAATCTCAGTCCCATATAATCTGATTTGAGGTTTGTGGATGCGGTGGGATTTCCTATGAAGTAAAGCAAGCCATTGGGTTCGGCTACGGAGTCGGCGCCCGAGATGACTAGTCGTATGTCGTGTTGTAGATAGTCAGTTTCGACTATCTTCGGGGTTCGAAGTTTAGCGTAGCTCTTCTGAGTTTGATCAAACTTCATCGCCCACATGCCCTAAAAATTCGGAAGTTTTTTTGTTTGAAGAGGAACTGTCTCTAATTTCTTTCGCAACTGAAAGAACCGTTAAGATACTGAAATCGCAAATCAATTATAAGCCTAGATAGCGCGATTTGGTCAAAAACTAATTTTTATTTTTAATATTGAATGGTTTAAAAATCGAACGAACTAGTTTTTTTAACTTCTTTGCTTGATTTTTTTGTTAAATTCGTTCAAACTGACCATGTTGATGGCGGATCTGATCTCTCTTAGTTTGTCGTCTAGTCGGGCAAATTTCACATCAAGGTTGCTCTTCTCGTCCTGAGCTGCCTTCATCTCTGCTTCATTTCTCAACATGGAGTCCTTCGCCATCTTGGCCAATGATGGTAACCGAGACACTAAAAAATGGTCATTATGCTCTACGCGATATAATTGCAAGTTCGCCAGAAATTCTACCTAAGATAAAACGGAACATTTATGCTTCGTCGACGGCAAATTAAAACTCAAATAACAAGAATTTATGTAATTTCGGTAATATTTTCGATTTTACACGTTTTTGAGCCGAAAACCCCAGGTACATAATTTTTGTTAGATATTGTGAATGTATTGCATGCACTGTAAAATTTTCTTCGTTTTTAATTGTAAAAATGAGCGTATACCTAGATCATCAGCCTCATTCATATCTTCCCGTGTCTCCTTCAAGTCCCTTCTAAGATTGTCCAGCTTATCCAAGGACTCCTTGGCCTCCTCGCGCAGTCTTCCCACATCTCTGGATGTCTCAGCTGCATTATAGATCACTTGATTTGCAAGTGCAGAGATGTTTTGGGCCCACTTCTCGTACTCCTCTGAAAATTATAAAGACTCATTTTTTCAGCAAAAAGCGAAGCGCCTGTTTGCATGTTTTAAAGCACTGAATGCATTGTCTAACTATTTCGTATTAAAATTTTATTTTTTCGCAAGTGTTGGACAATTCTTAAAACTTTTCTCAAAAACAAAAACTTAAATAAGGAAAAACTGGATCGATATTATAATGAGCCGAAAACCCCAGGGTTTTGACTGTCTTTGAGTTTTGAATTTAACAATCAAAGAAAATAGCCGAACATTTTAAGTTAAAGAATGATTTCACTGTAGGAAAAATGATGATCAGAGCAAAAGAAGTCAATGAACGCCAAGTTGAAAAAACATTTGGAAAAAAGTCAATGAAAGCAAAGAACGAGAAAAAAAATTACCAGTTATTCGAAATTTCAACTTTCTAATTTCAAACAAACAATATATCGCCTTAAAACTCTTTGAATTTCACAAGCAATTTATAATTGACATTTTAAAGGAAAATACTAACCCAATTTGAGAGCACTGGATAATTAGGAAATTTTATTCCACTAGGAAAATTAAAATTCTATTCCACTTTCGAAACGGGAAATCGATCAAGTTTTTTTGCGCCATTTCAGCTTTCATAACAGGAGGGTGCATTTTGCCAACCTTCTAGCAAATGAACGTGAATTGAACTCAAAAAGTGCATATTCTACTAAGGGCATTCATATGTAGATTAATAAGTATGAAGGCACTTCTTTTGTTAAGGAGGCATTTTAAGACTTTTCCCAAAAAATCATCACGACCTATATAAGAGTCTGAACTACGTTCATCGATTCCTAAACACGGCAATTAATCTTCGAAATCGAAATTTTGATATGCGGTTGATGAAACTGGTTTTACATCTGAACTTGAAAAACTTGTTTTCAAAGCATTTGTCGACCATTCCTTCGAATATTAACTAGCGACGAGTTTGGAGCAAAAAAAAAGTCTTCATAAGCACAAGTTTGATATCTTGGAATCAACTTAACATCTGGGCCACCTCATTTTATAGAAAGAAAAGTAACTGATACTTTGTGAGTAGCACAAAATTTCCGAAAAGAATTGAAATAATATATGACACAGAGGCGAAGCGGAGCTTCGCAACTGGCGATACATCGCACATATAGTGTTGCAAGCTAACGGGTAGAAAATCAGACGGAAAAAACTTAACGTATACAAACGTATGTCTCGGATGATATTATCATTTTGGGGAAACAATGCTTGGGTAGACATCTGTTGAACAAAAAACATGACCCGAAAAAGCCTATAACACTTTTAAGACTCCGTGTTATTACGTTCTACGAAGCATAAAAACACATGAAAACAAAATTTCGCCCTCTAAACTAGCTGTTACGAGGAAAACTAGCCAATATAACATCGTCAGAATCATTTAACTCCAAGAGCGAAAAAATCATGTGAATGGAAATTAAACAAATCTTCAAACTCATTTACATGCATCTTACAAATGTTAGATAAGGCACTCTAAAACAAAGAAAACTCCATGAGCTTTCAAGCAAAGTCCAACCTTCGGAAAATTGGCAAAAAAATAATAAGCTGACAAATGATAGTTTGACAATTTAAAAAAAGTCTTGTTTTTGAAAATCAAGAACAATTAATTACCGACACTTTTTAAATAAAAATAACCCAATGTGAGAAAACTGGGTCAACTGATTAACTTTCTATACCCGGGAAAAAGTAAAAAAACAAATTTTACTTTCGAAACTGAAAGTCGAACACGTTTTTTGTGACCTTTACACTTTGTAGTTCAACAGTGGAGTTTGCCTTCCTTTTAACAAAACAAGAAACAAACCGTGAAAAATCAAAAGTGTGAATAAATATCAAGACTTTTTTCTAAACAAAAAACACGAAAATCACCAAGACCTATATAAGAGCACTCACTACAATCCTTGCACTGAAATAATCAATTTCCATAGATTTTGTAACTAAAAACTCGAGTGGGACCCGAACTTTAGCATTAGATCAAGCACTTTACCATTGGACGAAATAGGAAGAGCTTGGAAATTATGATGGTGTATTACGATGGTTTATGATGAAGCAAGATCAACTTCTTACAGGCTTGTAAAGTGTTTGTCGGGAGAAACCATGTTCCTGAATACAAGTACACTTGCTCTCACAAGTCAGAAAGGAACAAAAAGACTAAAAGCAAAAAAAATAGCAAAACACGACCCTGGGCAGCACTTTTTTTGCATCTCAAACTGCTCGGCTAAAAAATCGCTTTAGCCTGAAGCTTTTCCATACCTCACATTATCACAACAATTTCACACAGATTCGAAGCTACACTTCGCAAATACAAACGACTAAGAGACAACAAATTGGCTCCTAAAAAGGGACTCGGTCAGAAAAAAAATCTTGGAAAAAGCAAAACTTTCGCAAGGAGCGGGAATCGAACCTCTAGCCTGAAGATTACGAGTCTCACGTACTTGCATCTGCTCTACGCAATCTTGAAACTCTCAAAACACTAGCCATCAATAAGGCGATAGACACTGGTTACTTTGCTGAAAGTGTTGAGCCATTTATCACACCAGTCTGAACTATTTTGTATATGAGCACACACTTGCTTTTAAAGGTAGTCAAAACCTGCCGGAAAACACCCTACGCAATAGGTCCGATAAGTGTTCGGAGCAACATGCTTATGGAAAATACAACATAGCCAACACACAGTTGGAAAAAGCAACAAGGAACGCAGGTAAACTAACACAAAATAATGACTCCTTTTTTGGAAAAATCTTAACTTAAGAATTTCCAAGAAAAAATAGATGGCCTGAAAGCTCTTTGAATTTCTAGAACAATATATGCTTTATTGAAAAAAATTAACCCAATTTGAGAAACTGGACAATAAATTTTCATTTCGTTGGGAAATCTAATAATTAAATTCCGAAATTAGAAGTCAATCTCCTTTTTCGTGACCTTTAAAATTCCGCTGTTCGATAGTAGAGTTTGCCTTTCTTTTAACAAAGAAACTGAACAACGGAACTAAACTTGAAAAGGAATCATAAGTCAAATCGGGGAAAAAATTGAGCCTGAACAAATTTTAAGGTTTTTCCTAAAAAAAAAACAGAAAAAAACCATCGCGAATTTATAAGATTTTGAGGTGCATTCATCGACTCTTAAAAATAACCAAGCAACAGCTGCTAAATAGTTATGAACACAAGGAAACAGAAAAAACTGACTTGTTTTTTGAAAACTTCAATTTGCGAAATTTAATTACAGAGCTAAAGCTTCGCTTCGCAAACACTAGTGAGAACACAACAAAAAGTAGCTTTATAAAGTATAATAAGAAAATGTATAAGACTCGAATTAGCGAAAATTCGGCTTCGTCAGGAGATTCGAACCAGCTAACTTGAGATTAGGAGTCACACACACACACACACACACTAATCACTCAGCCACGGGATTTATTAGTCAATAGCATATAGAAGATTAAACTAGCCACAAAAAAGCAGACAAAAATGCTATGCAATTTCCTATGCTACAGTGAAATTTCCAAATAAGTGAACACTTTTAATGAAGTTTTAATTGCGAGTTAGGTTAGAAAAAAAGAAAGTTCGTAATAACACAGTAAGCTGACGCTAGCATAAAAATATATAAATGCCCTTAAAGCTCTTTGAATTTCACAAACAAATTGTGTTTGAACCTTTATTAATAAAAATTAACCCAATCAGAGAAAACTGGATCAATATGTAAAAATTTTCATTTTCGCTGGTTAATCTGATCATTAAATTCCATTTTGGAAACTAGAAACCGATTACGTTTTCCGTGTCTTTTACATTTTTGCTGTTCGATAGTGGAGTTTGCTTTCCTTTTAACAAAGGAAATAAAGTGAATTTAAAAAAAAAAAAAATCAAACCGCGAAAAATCAAAATTGAGCGAACAAATTTGAACACTTTCAGTAAGAAAATCAAAAAAAATACACGACCTATATAAAAGTTTTAACTACATTTATTACTCTTAATAAAAAAGCTTAACTCTAACGACATTTTGTCACTGTCATAAGCATGCTGATGATTCAGCATTTAGATTGTTACAAAAAAAATTCTGTATCTCGATTACAAGCTATTGTCTCAATTTCGGTTACCTTAATTTGTATACTTTTAAGATAGTTCACATGTTAATTCACTTACTATTCTTGAGTTGCTGCAGCGTGTCTGATATCAAGTTGATAGCAGCCAAAATCCTGTCTTTTTTGAATCCAATTTCTCCCAAATGATTGTTCAGATCATCAAGAGATTTTTTGCCTGAAACATCGAAGAAGTCTGAACTTTTTCTTAAAACTTATTTCAGACTTATTTTCAAACTGAAAGCATGCATATGAACACAGGACTGAGTTATCATGCTTTAGTGAATTACGTAATTTTTCAGCAATAGCATCTCGAAAATTTTCGATAGGTGAAAAATTAAGGAACTTCCAAGTAGTTTCTATCAACAGTTTCATTGTCGTTTTAATTCAGAGGGAAATTTTTTGAGAAATTAGAATTCTGCTTAGCATTCTCTGTTTATACGAGCTCACTATCATTGGTTATGGTTAATGACCTCTCACAAACCGAAGTTTGAGCAACCTTCTATTTGATGGTACGAGACAGGTCTATCAATCATTCAAAAGACACTATTGATCTTCGACACACAACAGTTTTAATTATAGAACAAAAACTATATCCAACCAACTGTCCCAGAAGCAAATCCTTATTTGGATCTTGTGATTTTGCTCATTTAGAATTCCTAGGTTTAAAATATTTTCTGAAACCTCCAATTAAATTGAACCTTTCATAAAAGGCACTGTCTTTAGTTTTACAAATTTAAATTATTACCAGCCGCCAGTTCTTTTCCTATCTACCACTCTCAAAACTAATTGCCGTAATCGGACTCAATTAATTTGAGACTTTCAGGTCCAAACTCTTATAGTAATAAACAACAATCAAAACAGACGCTTTTGTAGTCCACACCCGTCTAGTTGAAACTATTGACAATAACATAGAAAAACGACTTGTAAAGATATCAAATTCAGTCAACTTTCATTCAAACATACGTCACACTTCAATACATTCAACTTCATACCGCCACAAAAACAACTCGAGAGTATAAGACATCGTGTATTAACTACTTTTTAACTAAATTTAAATGATTCAACGTAGTTGAACATCTAAACGATCAACAACAGCTAGTTCCAATATCCTCTTAGCTGCATTTTGACTCAAGTATCTGTAGTATCACCAAGAACCATGTCCAAATTTTTAGCTCTTTCCTCTGCAATTCTGCTTGTTATTTACTTCACCTTACCACTCTTTCTTCATCAAGCCAATAGGCTACTAATTAGCCTAGCAACAGACAACAATCCAGACTACTTAGCAACTACTTGCGAACTAGCCAAAAGCAGAGGCTACGACTGTGAAACTCACTCCATAACAACAGAAGACGGTTACATAATCGACACCCAACGAGTAAGTAACAAAACAGTTACAGCCACACACCAAACCAGCCAAGGAGTAGCTCTACTTATGCATGGATTCGAATGCGATTCAACAATCTGGGTACAAAATTTCCAGAACCAATCGCTGGCTTACATATTAGCGGACGAAAATATCGATGTTTGGCTAGGGAATATCCGCGGAAATTTCTATGGCGAACGTCATGTAAAGTTTAGCAGCGCTTCCGATCCGGATTTCTGGGACTTTTCATTCCAAGAAATGGCCCAGTTTGACCTTCCCGCGACCGTTAACTACATCCTCGAAACAACCGGATACGAAAAAATATACTACGTGGGACATTCTCAAGGAACCCTAATGGCTTTTCTTCAAATGTCCGAAGACGAAACTCTTCAGGATAAAATCGAATTCGCTTTCATGCTCACTCCGGTCTACACACTAACAAGCATGATAACTCCAATTCGATATGCCTTAGACTTAGTGTACCAACTCGGTTTCTACATTGGTCCTTACGTTCCCTCCATGCGATTAGGCCCTGCGCCTCCATTGGATTTTGTAATCTGGTCCTATATGTACCCCTTACCCAGCTATTACGTCACAGAGTTTATCTGGCAAGCGTTTTCCGGGGACAGTGACCACGCTTTACACAGAAACCATTCTCAAATGGTTGCTTACTTTGCGCATGGATTAGCAGGAACATCAGTACACAACGTTCGCCACTTTGCTCAAATTTACAAAGAGCAGAAACTTGCTAAATTCAATTACCAAAATGACAAACTAAACTTGCTACACTATAACTCTACACAGCCACCTGAGTACAACATTGGGAAAATAAACAGAAAAGTCACTAAAGAAAACAGTCATATAGATAGAAACAGAACCAAGTTTGCTTTGTTTTGGGGTGACAGGGATTGGATGGTCACGAAACACGATAGAATGAAGCTTCAGTCAATTTTGGGCGATGTTATTGTCTACAGTAAGATATGTGAAAACTTTTCTCACCTGGATTTCATCTGGGGTTTGCGTGCTAATGAGTGTGCCTACTTCAAAATAAGCGATATGGTTAGATCACACCGCAGACAGAAAATAACCTCACAATCAAAACCGGATATTAGTGCTACTAACTAGCAACTTTTAGTATAAGAAATTTAACCCATTTTTTAGTGTTTAATATTTTATTAAATGATGATTACTATGCAGTATTTTTGTGTCTGATTGTCCATTATATTTTCAAGTATATTACTTCATTTAATTTGATTTTGTCTCTCTGGCTGAGGTAATTAACGAGCTTCAGAACCGCTATTACTAACCTAGATCGGTGAAATTATTTCTGGCTGAAAGATTGAGCGTCCTTTCATTTATTTCTCCAATTCGAGGCTCAACTTCGCCAGTCAACAGTAAAAGTTTGTCCGCGATTTGATTCGCTTCGGAGGTGTTTGTGTGCGCGTATTCGACACTTAGGAATAGTTCGTCCTTGAGCATGAAAAATGTCTCTATGTCCTGAGCCATTGCGCTGACATTTCCAAAGGTTCTGAAATAAATCCCGTAAAAGTACAATATTTACTAATATAACACAGACAAAATAATCAAAATGAAGGCAAACAAAACTTAGTTCCAGTTATTTACAGTCCGGAAAAGTATGAAAAAGAACGAAAAAACAGTCCCAATTAATTATTGTTTTAACAAGCCGGCAGGCCGAGAATTGTCCTTTGTTCAACAAATATAATGAACAAAATAGTGACCGCCGCAGCCGCGCCAACGTGTTGCGAGCTTGCCATCAGAGGCTAGGACTTCATACGAAATTTAGAGCCGGTTATCGCCGCCAAGCGGCGACGCGCGCCCACCGCCGACCTTAAGCCGGACTGTTTTGTAACGGACTGTTTTTTCCCTCCATTACATGATTTTTCGGACTATTCTGTCTTGGACTGTTTTCTATGGGACTGTTTTGTATATGCACCTTCAGTACCAGAAATATTTCAGTGATGTCAGAAATGGGTACTAATAATATATTTTTAAATATAGAAAGCAGCGAACAAAAAAGTCGAAAAAGATATATCGAAAAGACTGCCATAATTTTTTATAAAACATACCAATTTTTGCAAACATAGCCAACTGACAGCCAAAAAAAAAGCAATGGACGCAAAGAAACGGAAAAAAAACTGACTTATTTTTGAAAAATTTTAACTTCCAATTTTTAAAGAAAAAAAATATATGCCCTTAAAGCTCTTTGAATTTCACAAACAATTTATGATTGGTGCTTTTTTGATAGACTTTAATTTAAGACTTTTCCTGGAAAAAAAACACCAAGACCAATGTGAGAGTACTCACTACGATTATTACCACATAAGGCAACTAGCAGCATTGAAATAGCTTTGAAACAGAACTTCAAGGTCTAGGCAGTGGCAAGTGAGCCGAAACCTTTTGTATCGAATAAAGCAAAAAACAAAGAAAAATTGAAAAAACTGAAAGACCAAATCGGAGGTGGTAAATTTACAACCAGTACAAAAAACAAATTCAGAAGATACGCCTTAATTTAATACAAAGGCAGAGCGAAAATTCGAAACTCGCAATTCATCACACAGATAGCAATTCACGGAAGCCACTGAGTGGGAAAAAACTATTCAAAATATGTCGAAAAACATCAACAAACGTATGTCTCGAATGATGTTGAATAGAAAAACAAGTCGAGACACATGTGCACAGAGTCAAATTAGCACTGAGATAAAATTCATCACGCGGTAACCTAGGCAAACAATATTGGTTGACGACTGGTGAGCCGAAAAAGTCATTGAAAAAAGGCACAATAAAAAGTACCGAGAATCCAAATTGTTTTCAATCTTTAAACGATCGCCCTTTTAGCAACTTTAACAGAAATCATTAAAACTAAGACTCTTTAGAACAAAACAAATAAACACACACAGTTGGAAAAGTCAATGAACGCAAGGGAACAGAAAAAAAACTGACTCAAAATTCCTCACACTCAGTTTCTTCGGTTGAAACCTTCATCCCAGATTTGGAAGAGCAGTGTCCAAGAAAAGTCAAAAATTGTAAAAAAAAAAACAAAAAAACAGGCGTAGCCGCTTACGCAGGCGAGATCTCCATAAAATGTTCTCCCGATTAAACCCTCAATTTGTTAAACCCTCAACTTCAGATTTGGCAGTGTAGTTTGTTCAGAAAATTAAAAAATCTGAACCAAAAGTCGAAGCACAGCTTCGCATAACTTGCGATACAATTCACGCACAGCAAGTCAAGCTAGCGCATAAAAAATGAGACGAAAACAACAAAATCACAAAAAATGAAAACTTCAGAAAAACAGTCAAAAAACACAAACCAGCTAAATAAGCTTTTAATTTATACCGAGCGGCTTCTAAGCCGATAACAATTTGGTAGACGCCCATTAAGCGGAAAACAAAAAATAATGCCACGAAAAACTTCCGTCATAAAAAAATTTATAAGCGATTACGTTTTGAAAATCTTACAACAGAAACTACCTGAAAGTTTCCATATTTTTGCCTTCCAAGCGACACAATATAAGGTAACTGAGCCGATAAAACATAAGCCGAAACTATTAAAGCCAAAAAAAAACTTGAACGAAAAAAATCAAAGGAAAACCAACGAAAATATATGTCTGGGTTATAATTTTACACATTAAAGAAGTAAAGCAAAAACACTTGCTTCTTCAATGAAAAATGCTGCCAGCACAAGATAAAGCCCCGATTTGCCAACTAATCCGAAAAAATATAAGCAGACAAACAAAAATCCGACACTTCTATCCCCCCCCCCCCCAAAAAAAATTGTTACATTTTATGCATACTGAAAAAAAAAACAAGTTCCGACCGGGAGTCTAACCCCCAAACCTTAGGGTAAAAAGGCAATTCTATTACCTCTAGACCAAGTGGAAAGGAATCTCTAAGTTACTAGGATTCACTAATAAAGCAACTTTAAAATTTCTTTACTCTGTTACTTACTGTCTTACCAGTAAGAAAAGTTGTTTATGGAAAAAAGTATTTCCCGATTACAAGACACTTAACAAGATACAAGGCCGTATAACATGGAGTAGGGTAAAAAGAGAAAAGCGGAAAGTGCAAGTACCTAGGTGAGTAATTGCTCTGTCCATTGATACTACTTTTTCGTAAATCGATGAAGCATTTTGAGAAAAACTAAGACTACTAAAAGCAAAGTTTTCCAGAACACTAGCCACCTAAAAAGCAGCAACAGTTCGAAAAAAAAATGCTTCGTAGCATTACACTGCGATGTAAATACAAGATTCAAGAGAAACGCTAACAGCAGACCAAACTGCTACAAACTTTCTGATAGATCATATCAGATAATAGAAAGATTACAATTAAGAAAGTGGGAATTGTTTTGAAAAAATAATTCAAATCGGACAATCATCAATAACTAAGACTTTCACGTTTCATATTTTTCAAGACTTCGAGGTTGAAAAAAACTGAAGTATCTCGAAGGCTGAGTGGAGGTACAATACCGCTCAAACTTAAGCAAAAAAAGTTAACAATACAGATTTTTTATGTTCATCATTCATAGACAATCTTACAAAAAATCTATTTCAGTAGTTAATTTTGAGTTGTCGAAGAAAGACAAAAGCGAACGAATTGGACTAAGTATATTAGCAAAAAAAAAGCTTGATTTGCAAGAGTAGTGTCCAAGAAAAGTCAAAAATTGTATAAAAAAAACAAATTAAACTAGCAAAAAAAACTTGATGCAGCCAAAATCCATTTATAAACCATAATCCAGTCGACCAAAAAACCTGTCAAAGGCAAAGAACTGTAGATGATTTGAAAAAAAAAAAACAGTTTTTTAGAAACCTAATTTGTTCTAAAAAAAAACAGTTTTAAGTTTAAACCAGCAGTCTTTTCTTCAGATTCTACAAATCGGCAGAAATTTCAAAAATAAGCTTTACACCAATTTCAAATTTTACCAATTGCAAAAAACTAAGATGAAAAAAATTTAACAAAGACCCTTCAATCCAAAATCTGAATAGTTAAAGTAAAAGAACTTGCCAAAAACAATTATTATGCAAATTATAGTATCCGATTAAAATCTAATAGAAACTATTGTTCACAAAAAGTCTGGTTACCGGATCTATTGCAAGTTTCAATAGAGGAAAAAATTAGCTGTCAAAATCAAGTAAGAAAGAAATGTAAGAATATGCCTTGAAAATTTTTGCTGTGGCGGATAAGAACCTACGACCAGGAAATTTGGAGTCGCACATCATTGCATCTGAGCCACGGGCCCTTGAAAAATTAAACACACCAATCCACAAGGAAGCTACATATGGTAAAAAATTCACAGTGCTATGCAGCAAAAGTCGCACTAAGTTGCAAAAGTTTGTCCGCGATTTGGTTCGCTTCGGAGGTGTTTGTGTGCGCGTATTCGACACTTAGGAATAGTTCGTCCTTGAGCATGAAAAATGTCTCTATGTCCTGAGCCATTGCGCTGACATTTCCAAAGGTTCTGAAATAAATCACGTAAAAGTACAATATTTACTAATATAACACAGACAAAATAATCAAAATGAAGGCAAATAAAACTTAGTTCCAGTTATTTACAGTCCGGAAAAGTATGAAAAAGAACGAAAAAACAGTCCGAAAAACAGTCCCAATTAATTATTGTTTTAACAAGCCGGCAGGCCGAGAATTGTCCTTCGTTCAACAAATATAATGAGCAAAATAGTGACCGCCGCAGTCGCGCCAACGTGTTGCGAGCTTGCCATCAGAGGCTAGGACTTCATACGAAATTTAGAGCCGGTTGTCGCCGCCAAGCGGCGACGCGCGCCCACCGCCGACCTTAAGCCGGACTGTTTTGTAACGGACTGTTTTTTCCCTCCATTACATGATTTTTCGGACTATTCTGTCTTGGACTGTTTTCTATGGGACTGTTTTGTATATGCACCTTCAGTACCAGATATATTTCAGTGATGTCAGAAATGGGTACTAATAATATATTTTTAAATATAGAAAGCAGCGAACAAAAAAGACGAAAAAGATATATCGAAAAGACTGCCATAATTTTTTATAAAACATACCAATTTTGCAAACATAGCCAACTGACAGCCGAAAAAAAAGCAATGGAGAAACAGAAAAAAAACTGACTTATTTTTGAAAAATTTAAACTTTCAAATTTTAAAGAAAAAAAATATATGCCCTTAAAGCTCTTTGAATTTCACAAGCAATTTATGATTGGTGCTTTTTTGATAGACTTTAATTTAAGACTTTTCCTGGAAAAAAAAACACCAAGACCAATGTGAGAGTACTCACTACGATTATTACCACATAAGGCAACTAGCAGCATTGAAATAGCTTTGAAACAGAACTTCAAGGTTTAGGCAGTGGCAAGTGAGCCGAAACCTTTTGTATCGAATAAAGCAAAAAACGAAGAAAAAATGAAAAAACTGAAAGACCAAATCGGAGGTGGTAAATTTACAACCAGTACAAAAAAAATTCAGAAGATACGCGTTAATTTAATACAAAGGCAGAGCGAAAATTCGAAACACTTGCAATTCATCACACAGATAGCAATTAACGGAAGCCACTGAGTGGGAAAAAAACTATTCAAAATATGTCGAAAAACATCAACAAACGTATGTCTCGAATGATGTTGAATAGAAAAACAAGTCGAGACACATGTGCACAGAGTCAAATTAGCACTGAGATAAAATTCATCACGCGGTAAACTAGGCAGACAATATTGGTTGACGACTGGTGAGCCGAAAAAGTCATTGAAAAAAGGCACAATAAAAAGTACCGAGAATCCAAATTGTTTTCAATCTTTAAACGATCGCCCTTTTAGCAACTTTTTCGATTAAATATACGCCGAAATCATTAAAACTAAGACTCTTTAGAACAAAACAAATAAACACACAGAGTTGGAAAAGTCAATGAACGCAAGGGAACAGAAAAAAAACTGACTCAAAATTCCTCACGTTCACTTTCTTCGGTTGAAACCTTCATCCCAGATTTGGAAGAGTAGTGTTCAAGAAAAGCCAAAAATTTAAAAAAAAAAACAGGCGTAGCTGCTTACGCAGGCGAGATCTCCATAAAATGTTCTCCCGTTAAACCCTCAACTTCAGATTTGGCAGTGTAGTTTGTTCAGAAAATTAAAAAATCTGAACCAAAAGTCGAAGCACAGCTTCGCATAACTTGCGATACAATTCACGCACAGCAAGTCAAGCTAGCGCATAAAAAATGAGACGAAAACAACAAAATCACAAAAAATGAAAACTTCAGAAAAACAGTCAAAAAACACAAACCAGCTAAATAAGCTTTTAATTTATACCGAGCGGCTTCTAAGCCGATAACAATTTGGTAGACGCCCATTAAGCGGAAAACAAAAAATAATGCCACGAAAAACTTCCGTCATAAAAAAATTTATAAGCGATTACGTTTTGAAAATCTTACAACAGAAACTACCTGAAAGTTTCCATATTTTTGCCTTCCAAGCGACACAATATAAGGTAACTGAGCCGATAAAACATAAGCCGAAACTATTAAAGCCAAAAAAAAACTTGAACGAAAAAAATCAAAGGAAAACCAAGGAAAATATATGTCTGGGTTATAATTTTACACATTAAAGAAGTAAAGCAAAAACACTTGCTTCTTCAATGAAAAATGCTGCCAGCACAAGATAAAGCCCCGATTTGCCAACTTATCCGAAAAAATATAAGCAGACAAACAAAAATCCGACACTTCTATCCCCCCCCCCCCCCCAAAAAAATTGTTACATTTTATGCATACTGAAAAAAAAAACAAGTTCCGACCGGGAGTCTAACCCCCAAACCTTAGGGTAAAAAGGCAATTCTATTACCTCTAGACCAAGTGGAAAGGAATCTCTAAGTTACTAGGATTCACTAATAAAGCAACTTTAAAATTTCTTTACTCTGTTACTTACTGTCTTACCAGTAAGAAAAGTTGTTTATGGAAAAAAGTATTTCCCGATTACAAGACACTTAACAAGATACAAGGCCGTATAACATGGAGTAGGGTAAAAAGAGAAAAGCGGAAAGTGCAAGTACCTAGGTGAGTAATTGCTCTGTCCATTGATACTACTTTTTCGTAAATCGATGAAGCATTTTGAGAAAAACTAAGACTACTAAAAGCAAAGTTTTCCAGAACACTAGCCACCTAAAAAGCAGCAACAGTTCGAAAAAAAAATGCTTCGTAGCATTACACTGCGATGTAAATACAAGATTCAAGAGAAACGCTAACAGCAGACCAAACTGCTACAAACTTTCTGATAGATCATATCAGATAATAGAAAGATTACAATTAAGAAAGTGGGAATTGTTTTGAAAAAATAATTCAAATCGGACAATCATCAATAACTAAGACTTTCACGTTTCATATTTTTCAAGACTTCGAGGTTGAAAAAAACTGAAGTATCTCGAAGGCTGAGTGGAGGTACAATACCGCTCAAACTTAAGCAAAAAAAGTTAACAATACAGATTTTTTATGTTCATCATTCATAGACAATCTTACAAAAAATCTATTTCAGTAGTTAATTTTGAGTTGTCGAAGAAAGACAAAAGCGAACGAATTGGACTAAGTATATTAGCAAAAAAAAAGCTTGATTTGCAAGAGTAGTGTCCAAGAAAAGTCAAAAATTGTATAAAAAAAACAAATTAAACTAGCAAAAAAAACTTGATGCAGCCAAAATCCATTTATAAACCATAATCCAGTCGACCAAAAAACCTGTCAAAGGCAAAGAACTGTAGATGATTTGAAAAAAAAAAACAGTTTTTTAGAAACCTAATTTGTTCTAAAAAAAAACAGTTTTAAGTTTAAACCAGCAGTCTTTTCTTCAGATTCTACAAATCGGCAGAAATTTCAAAAATAAGCTTTACACCAATTTCAAATTTTACCAATTGCAAAAAACTAAGATGAAAAAAATTTAACAAAGACCCTTCAATCCAAAATCTAAATAGTTAAAGTAAAAGAACTTGCCAAAAACAATTATTATGCAAATTATAGTATCCGATTAAAATCTAATAGAAACTATTGTTCACAAAAAGTCTGGTTACCGGATCTATTGCAAGTTTCAATAGAGGAAAAAATTAGCTGTCAAAATCAAGTAAGAAAGAAATGTAAGAATATGCCTTGAAAATTTTTGCTGTGGCGGATAAGAACCTACGACCAGGAAATTTGGAGTCGCACATCATTGCATCTGAGCCACGGGCCCTTGAAAAATTAAACACACCAATCCACAAGGAAGCTACATATGGTAAAAAATTCACAGTGCTATGCAGCAAAAGTCGCACTAAATATATATATATATATATATATATATACAAACTTTGCAATATTTAGGAATATCATTACCTAAAAACTGAAAAGCAAAAAGTCAAATTATGCATTGCAAAAAAGCGAGATATTTTGACTTTGAAAATTTCTGAAACTTTTATCATTGTAATGATGATTGAATTAGCTTTTTTCGGTTCACTTGATGAATTAGACAAGCATCAATTGTGTAAACTTATTGCTTATAGAATGTCAAAGCACGATATCAAACAACCATTAAGGTTCCTCCTGAAGTGGTACAATATTTTCGACTTGTTGGAAAAAAAGAAAACTCGTACTATTACACTACGCTCGCTAAAGCTCGCTTATCTAATCATTACAGATATACATGCAACAACTTCTAGTCTCGCAAACTCCATTCGAGAGGCATTTTACAAAAATTATGACGGAAAAATCTAACTTCTAAAATGGACATGGAGCGCTTTCGCTCTTCCCATATTAAGCTAGTGAATTTACTCACAAGTTAGCGTTGATATCCCTCAGAATACTATTGATTGTTTTGTTAGCCAGCTCGACCTGTTTAGTCACATTGGCGACATTTATCTTCAGCTGCGCCACCCAGCCCCCAAACTGCGACTTATTTCCCTGCAGTTCAAAAGCAGACTCCTTTCCCAGTATATTCAACTGAGCAATTTCCTTTGTTATGTTCCCTATCACTTCTGCATCGTGTTTAGCTTGATCGATCCTCAGAGCGATTTGCTTGAAAAGTCGCTCCGCGTCAGGGACATCTCGTTCGTATTGTTTATTTTTCGTGGCCAGCACAAAGTTAAGACTTTGGTATGTTCTGGCGGCAGAATCATTCGCTTCCAAGCCAAGTCGCCGAAGTTTAACTAAATCGTTAAGGAGGCTTCCACTTTCCGTCTTAAGAGCATCGCCTTTTTTCTCGATTTCCACAACAGGTCTCAACTGGTTCACAACTTTGTTGTAGACTAAAAAAAATCAAACCAACTTTTCTAAATTGTGATTGATTATTTAACTGCGCATTATGCGCCGGCAGCAAAAAAGACATTTGCATTCGGCTATGAGTAAAGCTGACTTGTTTTTATTTTTTCAGGAAATTTTAAGTTTCCGAAAAAAAAATCTTTTTATTGAACTTTTTATTTTCAAAAAGCTTTAGAACACATGAACTCACTTAGCAATTATATGTTCATCGAAACGTCTGTGGCACAAAGGCAAAAAAACTCAGAAGTACATACTAATATCGACTCGTTTTTGAGTGGCATTTGCTTGCTTCATGACATCATCAAGAGTATCGTTGGCGCCTCCTGTTGAAGCAAGTTTGTTGGACAACTCTAGCGAAAGCTGTCGGATCAGATCAGTCTGTTCCTTCTGTCCTCTTTTCTGCAGGTCAATCAAATCCTTCTTTATCACTTAAACACAATACTCTCAAAATCCACAAAATTGCTTCATCTTTTGAAACAACTTGCGATGCAAAAATATGTCCATGTTGAGGCGTAAATAAAATTGACTATGGGGAAAATAGCGTCCTATAAGCGCTGCCAATTTCATGAATCTTTCGTGATTGACAATTTTAGACACAGAAGCGAAGTTGCACTTCGCATATACAAGCAGCAAAAATAGGCTCGTTATCCTCCTCCCCCCGTCCCCCCCCCCCACCACCACCTCACATAAGCATCAATTTTATGGTGTAACGAGGAGTTTTACAAGGTTAAACATGAGGACCAAATATGTTTATCATGGCCTAATTAGTTCGCATGCCAATTTTTGTAACATTCGTACGATGTGAACAAAATTTCACTTGTAAAAATTTGCAGGTGGGGGAGAAGGAAAAAGAGCCCAAAAATATGACCGATAACGCTTCTGGGAAAAACTGAATGAGTAAAACTTCGAGTCTACAAAACTTCTTAAGTGACGCACGCCAATTATGACGCATCAGCAGTACCAGTCAATTTGAAAAAAAAGAAATCTACCAATTAACATGCTTCAATTTATAGAGCGGACGCATTTTAACTAGTATACCCAGGTTCGAAATCTCTTATTTTGTTGCTGATCTCTTTTCCTACCTCTACGCTACAGATCCATGATGCCTTGTCGCTAAAGTACTATTTGTAGTATAATAGTCTGTGTTAATATCCTTAGCATTGGCTGTACTTAAAAGCTGGATCAAAATAAACACTTCCAAAATGAACATTTTATCGCAACAATTGCATCGCAACAATATTTGCGACTTAGGTTGGAAAAAAGAAAGTTCATACTCTAACACAAGCTATGCTTGTGTAAAAAAAAAACAATTCAATTTGAGCAAACTGGATCAATATATAATTATTTTGAGAGCATAAATAAGTTGCCGTTCTTTGATCAAATGAAATTGAGTTGAAAAGAAATTAAAGTCAAACCGCAAAAAAGCTAGAAAATTTCAAACCCTTTGAGCGAGGAAAATACAACACGTGAAAAAATTCAGCACGCGTTTATAGACATTTAAAAAGCAGACCAACGATAGTCCGACAGATAATTTTATAACCCGAAAATTCTCAATTTTAAAACAACAGGCCAAGACTGGATTCAATCCCTGGACCTTTTTTTTTTTTTTTTATTTGCCCCCGGCCTGCTCAGTGCAGGACCAACCGTGGGGGAGGGGGAGATGTCATCCATTTTGCCGCAGCCGGTCCCACCTTGAGGAGGCGGATGACACTGGGACCCCTCCAGCCTGGACCTTTGTCGTCTAAAGCAAAGACATTACCTTTACGCCAAACGGGCGCACGTGATATACTAATAAAATTAACTCCAGAAGAGTCTTGAAAAGAGTCTGTGAACAAGGTGAAAAAAGAGTAGTGAAAAAGAGTAAAAAAGGCTAACAGGAAGGGGTTTAAGAATTTTCGATCTTACATTCAAATTCAATAGTCAAATTGTACTTCACGAAGTCTTTGCTCTCCTCGGTCAGTTTTAGCAGATTGAATATCGGCTCCAGCAACGACGCTGCCTGTCCATTTCGCCATTGAGCAGTGTTTAAAGTTAAGCTAACTTCTCGAGAGATTTTTTCCAGCTCTTGGGACAAGCCGACGTTATTGTCACCAGCGTTTATACTTTGTTGAGCATCCAATATGATGTTTACACTTTCCTAAATATCATTTCGGTTAAATCACAAAGGTGCTACCTTGACCGCAATCTTCAAAAGTTATACCTCTAATTCCGAGAACGTGATGTAATATTTCTGAAGTGCTCTCGAAATTGAAGCACTCAATGCTGTTTCGTTGAGACTTGACAGTGAGTTTCTGATTGAAACAAGTATGCTTAACTCGGCCAAATCAATCAGACTTTCAACGCACGAACCACAGCCCACACAACCACAAGCCGTTTCTTTCTCCCGTTCACCGCACGCCAAACATTCACCCGTAAAAGAATCGCATGGCCTGCAAATAAATTTAAAATCTACCATCAATAACTTGATAAAAATTTGTGACTTTGTTCTACTTACTTCTGATTCGGGCAATTGCATGACTTGCATCCATTGTCGGAAAAATCCCAGAAATTTGGCAAGCATTGATCGCATTTACGTCCGGTAACACCCGGTTTGCATTTGCAATCTCCAGTTTCAGGATGGCAATCGTTGCACCAAGAGCCTACAGTTGAACAGTCGCATGGCTTGCATCCTTCACAGCTCCGAAAACCGAAATGCCCAGCTTCACATTCTGTACAGTGTTTGCCTTTGACGTTCTTCTTGCAGTAACAATCTCCAGTTTCAGCGTTGCACCCTTCTCGACCACAACTATGGCATTGACAATGTCTGCATGTTTTCAGCTTTGCATCGCCATAAAAATCGTCATCACATATTTCACAATTTCGACCCTTAGTGTGGTGAACACATTGATTGCAAACACCAGTTACGTTGTTACACATAGATCCAAGGTAGTATTTATCATGATTGTCGTTACAATCACAGGGCAGGCAGTAAGTCCCACTGCCAGAAGGACTATAATTATTATCCATGCAAACATTGCACATTTCTCCTTTCACTCCAGGTGGACACGCTGCGTATCCAAGAGAGGAAAAACTAAATACTAGCAAAACTTTGAGCATAATCGCCTAAAAATTTCAAAATATCAAAACAAAATGAAGGTAAATATTATGAAGTTAACTTATATATATAAACGAATTATTTCTGAAGACAAAGGTGAGTTCATGTCTAATTTTGAAACAGAAGAGGCCAAAGTTTCGGAAATACTGGAGTATATTGGCGAGTCAAACATTAACAAACCAAATGTAAAGACTTGGTAAACGTAATTCCTCAGAACGAGGGCCACGTCCCATACTTTTACGCCTATCATCAGATTGGGATGCTCGAAAATGTCTAGCTAAAGCGTATAAACTCAAAAATTTTCAAGATTAAGTCTTCATTTCCAAGTCGCTCAAAGGAGATGAACAAGCTGTGAAACGCAAAAATTCTCAAGAAACGATATGAAATGATAAATCACGACCAAAAACCTCGCAATGAAATAAAAATTCGCGGCCTCACTCTTGAAAGAAAAGGTGAAAAGGTCGAGTTAGACTGACTACAGCTGAAATTATGTCTGCTTAACGTTCACAGCCTGATAAGTGTCAGCCACCGTTTTAAAATCCTCAACTATCTTAGTTTACATTCTCCCGATATCGTCTTTCTCACAGATACCTGGCTCAAACCTGAAATTACCAATCCTGAAATCTTTCCATTAAACTGTCCTTATTCTGTTATTGCTCAGGTTGATCGTTCTCGTGAAGACCACGGAGGGGTTCTCATCGCCCTTAAGAACAGCTTTGTAACAAACTACTCTATTCTTTCTTACAATGCAGACTATTACCTTGGTTTATCAATTTAATCCGGATATCGTAATCTTTCTTCTTGTTTACAACACCCCTGATACATCTCCATGATACAACTCCATGCCAAAGTCTCATTTAACTACCGACCTGTTCATAAAAAGACACCAGCCATCAAACAAAAACTAGATTTTGGCATTTTTGCGTACAAGAGAGCAAACTGGGAAGAAGTGAATGAATTCATTCGTCAACACCCCTTCCAACCATTTTGCTTGAGCAACGTTGAACTGATGCTCGATCATTGGTACGAGTGGTTATATGAAATACTGCAGGACCTGCTACCTATCACTACAAAAAACAGGTCTGAACTAGCTCCTTGGGTGGCAAGCGATTCCTCCAACCTTATCAAGAAATTAAATAAACACCAACTTAAAAATCAGCGAAAACCTACCCCATCGAACGACAGGCAAAATTGAAAATCTGCAAACTGAACTAACACTGTCCTTCAAAATGACCAGCATCTCCACAAAAAAATGCTTTTCGAGAATGGGAAATTTAGCGAAATACAACGATATCTGAAATCGATCCCTAAGTCTCGCATGATCCCTTCAGAGGTCTACCTTGATCAAAAAAATAGCCAATACAGACGCTCAAAAAGCTGAAATGTTTACCATGTATTTTCAATCAGTTTTCACACAAAACGCCAACGTTGGGAAAGCAGAACGACAAGATAACGTTCTTCTGAACAGTATCAATTTCACTATCGATGAAATAGAAGGTGCCCTGAACGAGCTGCACGTAAGAAAGGCAAATGGATCAGACATGATTGGTAAAACTCTTCTGAAAAACCTCTCAAAGTTACTACCAAAATCACTTCACTTACTGTTCAACTTGATTGCAAATAAAGCGATATTTCCAACAAAATGAAAGATCAGCGAAATCGCACCAATTTTCAAAGACGGGGATAAACAAGACGTATCAAATTACAGGCCGAACAGCCTGCTCTCAGCAGTGTCAAAACTGCTTGAGAAACTAATATTTGATAAACTGGCCCCAATTGTCTACCCAACCCTAACACCAGACCAATACGGTTTTAGACCTAAACGATCGACGATAACAAACCTAATAGAGTATCTACACGAGATTTTAGCTGCCTAGATTCGCCAAACTGCAACTACCTGAACACCTTCTACTTGGACTTTCAAAAGGCTTTTGACAAAGTCTCGCACGGAATCCTCATGGAGAAATTATCGAATTCTGGAATTGGAGGAAATTGTTTATCTCTGATACACAGCAACCTCTCGAACCGAAAGCAAACCGTGAGGCTGAATGACACAATTTCCGGAGAGCTGGAAGTCTTCAGCGGCGTTCCCCAGGGCTCTATACTCGGGCCGCTTCTCTTCCTAGTCTTCATAAATGATCTACCAACCTGTGTCATGTCCGCAACATTTGGTTATGCAGATGACTACAAAATTGTTGGAGACAACCCTTTTACTCTCAACATAGATGTTAGGAGACTTTGGAGGTGGTGCGAGGAAAACTGAAACTGTATGTCAATGAACCTGACGAAAAGTAGAGTCCTCTGTCTCAAAGGATCAGCTACGATTGCACTCCCCAGTTACAGCTTCGAAACCACTGAAGTAATGAAAGATCTGGGCATCCTGATAACCGACACGCTCTCGTGGACGCAACACTCAAAAAAGAGGGCTGAAAAAGCCTTAAACGCTTTCTTCGTACTCAAAAGGAATCTCTCAAAGGCGAATTTTACGACCAGAAAAAACGCATATATCTGTTACCTTGTGCCAATTCTGTGCTACGGTTCAGCTATCTGGAAAACATCAAAAACTGACTTAGGAATCAGAGAAAGTGTGCAGCGGAAAGCGATCTCATGCATTTTCATGACACACAATAGCCATATCTCCTATAAAGACAAACTCGTGAAATTTAACAACCTTACTTTTTCTCTATACCAAGAGCTTCATGTTGGACTGCTGTTTGCAAAAATACTAGCTGGAAAAATTGACATCGACTGGAGAAGCCATGTAAGCATCACTGACGTTGGAAACCGATGAGCTCAAATGACACGAAATTTCGTCTGCAAACAAATGCGTCTGAAGAAGTGCGAGTCAGATTTCTGGTTTCGGGCATGTCGTCCCGCTAATCTGTACAACGAATACTTCAAATATGACATAATGTTTGACCCAGAATGCAAAAACAGACTTCAAGGAATGTACACAAAGTTTTTCAAAACTCGCTACAACGAATCAGACACATGCACTTGGCGCATTTTATGCGAATGCAACAACTGTAGAGACCTGAAGAAAATTACACTTATAACTGAGAACTAAACTTTGAACAATGCAAGGACTGGGTTTCATGCGAACCCTTTGATCGTATTCCTAAATCCTTTGTTATTATTTTTGTTATGATTATTATTACTTTTTTTATCTGCTTACAGATTACCTATCAATTCTCTAGTTGAATCGTTTCGTTATTTTAACACTAAATTAGCATCTTTATTATGCTCGCACACAGTCATGGGTGACTTCAACTTGTCCGACATCTTCTGAACATCTTTTCTGGTCGTTCGGTTTACTCTAATTTGTTTCTTTCTACTATCGAGGAACTCGACTTAAACCCCTTCTTTATGAACCAACTCATCGATCCGGTAACACCCTGGACCTGATATTGCTATCCCAAAATGAACTATTAACAGTTTTTTATGACAATAAATTGTATTCAGACAACTTTTCCGTGTTTGCTTTCTCTACAATACCCAAATTAACACTGAGCACCACTTGGGCAAATTTTAAGCTCTCATTTTTTGAAAGCTTTATTCTCTTGTTCAGTTTTCAATGAAAACATCAGACCATGCTTTGTTAATCTTAATTAAACTCAAAACTCGAGTTTTGGCTCATTAAGTATCGAAGATTATGTGCGTCACTGGTATTCCAAAAGTATGGCAGTAGTAATCTTTGCGTGTTGTAAAAGTATCAAAAGGTTGCAACAACTTCCTTATTTTTATTTGTCCCACACAGTTCATCTTCTTAACAAACATCGAACAGCTTCAAGATTTAATAATAACAATCTACGTCTCTCTTCATGCAATGCGATAATGATCAATCAGTTGAACTCGATTAAACATGCTTATTTGAATCGTTATCTCTGAATTCGACTCGTGGCTGTTTTAAATATCTGCGCTCTTTTACTAAAAAACGACTACCCAATAAAATGCTTAGGAAAGACAAAAAATCTACCAATTCTTTGGACATAGCCAATCTTATGAAAGAATACTTTTGTTCTGTGTTCCTACAAAGATGTAATTCTGCTCTAGATGCACATGACAACCCTTTAATTCTGTTCAACATACTTCAACTAAGTGTTGTTCAAGTTGAAACGTCACACGCGTCAGCTTCAATTACATGTTTAACCAATGACAACCTTGCAACTTTTGTTCTTAGCAACTGCAGAAAAATTATCGCGCCACATGTCGTTCAGCTTTTTGTTTATGTCTTAAATACCCAAAATTGGCCTACCTTTCGAAAATGTGCTTATAACACCCATGTTAAAAACAATCAATCCAAAAAATGTTGAAAAATACCGCCCTATCGGCATCTTACCTAAATTACTGCCTACTCTGGAGAGAATTATTTTTATTTAATATCCTCGAGTGAGACCAAACATTTTTTCCGTTCAGCTTGGTTTCATGACGAAACGATTAACCATTACCCAACTTCTTGAATATCTTGACAAAATTTATCCAAATAAAGAGACGAATCTTGAACGTTTTTCAGTATATTTCGATTTTTGCAGTGCTTTTGATCAAGTACCTCATCATATTCTACTAAGCAAACTGGCTAAGTTTGGATTTGATTACACGTTTCTCCAGCTTTTCTCTTCGTATCTGAGTGATCGTACTCGAATTTCAAGGATTGAAAAAACATCTTCCTCGATAGGTTATGTTACTAGTGGAATGCCGCAGGGCAGCGTCTTAGGGCCACTATTGTTTGTTCTCTTCATTAATGACATGCCAATTGGTCTTTTAATTTCGGACTGTTATTTGTTCGCTGATGACAGTAAATTAAATTCCAGCGCAACGCATTTTGACATTCAGTGAGATATAGATCTTTTTAACAACTGGACTATCGAAAATGAAATGACGTTTAAAGCCGATAAATGCAAAGTTATTTGTTTTAATTCTAATGAGTCGGAAACATCGCTCGGTCTTAATGATATCTCCATTCCTTCGGTATCATCTGTCAAAGATCTCGGGGTCACAATTTCTC